AAAATCTTTTTTCTGTGGGAAGACATGTACCTTAAAAAGTGAAACAATTATCAGGCTGTACATATTGTTATGTAACTTGCCATTTCACAATATATTTAGAGCATCTTTTTTTGTCATTAAATATCCCTCCTTCCCCCCTCAGTATTTTTATAGTTATTACCTGGTTATTACCTTTGAAAAATTACTATTAGGACAACATGTGATGAATATCTTAGCTAAATTTTTATATACATTCACTGACATTTCATTTGAGTGTTCTAAAAATAAAATTTCTGAATTGAAACATGTTCTTTCACTGTGGATGAGAGAGCCCAATATTCCCATTCCAACCTTCACTGAGGAAATTTGACAAACCCTCCACTGTACAGGTAGGAAAGCCATCTCATCGCTTTAATTTGTATTTCTTTGATAACTGTCAAGGTTGAACATTTTCTTATATGTTATTTTATGATCATATTTCTTCCTTTTATTGGTTTTCGCTTTTTTGTCTTTGCCCATTTTCTATTAGAATAGTCATCTTTATCTTATTAATTGTAAGAACCCTTAATAAATTAGCCCAGTTAACTCTCTGTCTTATATCACAGGGAATACTTCCCTAGTTTCTCTTTTGTCTTTGTGCATAGTTCATAATGTCTTTTGATAAAAAGAAATTCTCAGGTTTTACACACATTTTCTTCCTTTATAATTTTTGCCATCAGAAATTAGCAAGGCCTTCTTTATTCCAAGATCATTTAATACTTATTTCTATTTTCTTCCATGTCACTCGTTTTTGAAGTGTGATATTTCTTCAAAGTCTGCCACAAGGGGGACTTGGCCATGGCCTTCAGAGAAACACCAGTGGAGGCTCATTAAATGTAGACTGGTTATTTGGTGAAACTACCAAGAGTGTCCTGGAAAGGGGAAGACAAGATCTTATATGTTTGTTCTTCACCAATTCCATATACTGCATCCAGTAGCTTTGTTAATTTGCTCTTTCAGTGAAAGAAGTTTAAAATGGAAAAAAAGGTTAATATAAGGTTTATGTTTACATATTAAGCCCCTGGGATGTGATGACTCTTCTCACCTCAGCCAGAACAGAAGCTTCAGACGGCAAAGACCTTTGTTTTGTTCACTGATGTACTGCAAGCTCAGTGCCTGGTATGCAGTATGCATTTGATAACTATGTGTTGGTGGAGCTGGCCTTTAATCAAGTAGAGTTGTGTGTATGCTACATGTTGGGTAGGAGAGTCAGGGGTAATGAGTTCTGGGCTTCACTGCTTTGCATTACAGAGGTGCAAAGTACCAAAAAACAAAAGCCTCTAAATGAAGGCAGTAAGTAAATTTCAGTTTTACTTTTTAGTTGACTGTAGAGATATTGATCTGAGTGTAAAGGTGAAAGTGCCTCGAACCTGGCACAGTAGGATATGGTGCTGAATACTGGAAAATATTCAGAGAAAAAAAATTCTGCTGGGCAAAACAGGGGCTTCCACCCACCAAGAGAAATAAGAGATGCTCCTCTACTCCATTTGATGCTATGGCATTTGTCCAAAGCAATAACAATCAGATCTGGCTTTATTTGAACATAACATGGAAGAAACCGTTTTCAGGAAGATTCATTTTCACTGAGGGGAGAGGAAGAGAAGCATTCTGCGTAATAATAGAAAAACCAATTATTTTTCAATCAGATGAAGTGTCCTCATAAATTCAAGGCAGAGAATGGCATGTTATATGCCTTCATGGAAATAAGGACCACAAGGGAAGGAGTTTGGGATCCTATTTCCAAGGTTGTTGTTAGGAAGACATATTTTTCAAGAGTGGAACCCTGTGTGTACATCATCCTGCCCAATTTGCCTCTACCAAATCCCTTCCTGTCCAACCTGCCCCCCCATTTGGCTATGATGTTTTAAGTAACACACTAAAATCCTCTCTTTATAGCATAATAACATGGAAATAACACAAATGAACCCCAAACAATCCTTCTTACTAGCAAAAATGTATAATATATTACATATACAATGTAACATATTTATACAGTACATATTAACAAGGGAATGACCAAGAAAGTAAAAAAATGAAGACTTTTGACAAAATTTAAAGTCATATCTTAATGATAAAGTTTTCAATGAATATGAAGATTGGAAAGTCAGCTCTTGCAAAAAGATCTAAGGAGAGTATGAGTGTTACAAAGATGGTCTTCAAGTCTGCATAAGGGCGAGGGAGAACCAATGCCCTGGGAAAATGTGTGCACCACAGTTTCTTTAACATGTAAGGCTAGAACATAAAGCCCACAATGTATAACCATTCAAGTCTGTTCACAATATTTAAAAGGTGAATAACTGTGAGGGTGTCTACTCTGTATAAGCTTTATGCATTGGAAATCAAACTGACATATTCCGTGTACACTAGCCTTAGGAAATGACACGATATTCCCGAGAAGCGCTAGCCCAGGGGATGCCCTCACTTCTGTTTTCTGCCAGCATGCAGGCACAGCATGCCAGGTGTCTGAGGGCCGAAACTGTAGCCCTTCCTGGGTGTCCTCAGACTCTGGCAAAAATAGAAGTTCAAGGACAGCAGTTCACTGACTATCAGGTTAGCCCTGTTAAATTAGTCAAACTGCCAATCCCTTGTGCCATGCAGGCCATTCTTGTGTTTTCTAGAGGCATCGTCTCTAAATAACCCGAAACAGAGCTGTCAGTGCCTGTGATCAGAAGAGCCCTGGCACTTCACAAGAATTACACTGAACCCCAGAACACTGCGACCACCATCCATCTTGACACCTCCCTAATTAAAGTGTCCCATCTGCTAGCTGGGGTTTGAGAAGGAAGGAGAGTTATTACAGTATATGTCCAAGGAAGTGGAAAGTGCACAATTTAAATGTCTCCAACTTTCTAGGAATAAATCTCCTTAGAAAATCAATCACGCCCACAAAAATACTTCCAACATTCTAACTTCCATACCCTAATTGATGAGATGATTCTCTAGTTTTGTGCCAAGATCTGTTTCCTTCCCAGAGGGTGACCTAGTCTTTGTTTTAAGCCAAGAAAATCATAAGAAAAATGCTGACCTATGATGGTTACACATCATGCTTAATCACTACTTTAAATTAAAATACTGTAATATAAAATAAAGCAGTGGCTGGGCCACTCAGGCGGAACATAACTTCCCAGGCCACAGACACACCTACCGAGACACTTGAAATTTCTAAGGAGTCTGGTTCCCAGCTGTGTGTCAAGAGCCAAACCATGACATCAGGTCTTGAGTTGCCCTGGAGAAACTTGGGGCAGGGCTGTCCTAACAAACTGTGTTTGCCAATCAGAGACTTCCCCAGAGTTGTCTTAGCTTTTCAGTATGTCAAACTCTAACAGAAGCCAAGGTTTGCAATGGCCAAGGTTTGCAAGGGTTGCTTCCCACCCTCCAATCATGACCTTATAGTGTTCCAAAAGCTCACTCCTCAAATACTGCTTAAAGTAAGTATTAAGTAGGGGTTGGGGGGCGGGGGGGGCCACAAGGTTTCCTTCTCCTTGGCTTGGCTCATCTAAATGAAAATGTCTTGAGAAATAATTGCTTATTTTTTCCTGATCTCTTCAGATGGGATAAAGCTGCAGCCCCTGAGTAGGCCTAACAAATGGCTATGAGAAAAATTTCTACTGGAATCTCAATAAGGTAAATGAGCTTCTAAAAGTGCATGGATTCCATAATACCTTTAAAGATCAAATCATGTAAAAGCACTGTCCAACTCTGTCACAAAGACATAAGTGATAATGTAGCCCCTTTTTCCAGGCCTCCAGAAAGATCTCTCCTTGTTTTAAATCCTTCAGTGGCTCTCAGAATGGGTGCTTCCCTCCTTCTCTGGCTCATATCCACCATCTTCCACCAGTGTGGCAGTTCTCAACCAGGGCTTTTGTCCCCCCAAGGGGGACACTTTTGGCTATCACAATTGAAGTAAGGAGAGGGGGATGCTACTAAACATAATCCAATGCAGGGCACAGCCTCTTAGACACTGAGAATCACCTGGTCCAAATGTCAGCAGTGTCGAGGTTGAGACATCTTGCCCCAGCAGTACCAAATTCTTTGTTGTTCTCTAAACATGCCAGACCTTCTCATAAGTTTCTGTCCCTAAAAGGGCTATTTCCTTTACCTGGAATGCCCTGCCCTACTTCTAAGTCCAAGAAATGACCATTTGTCATCCAGGATCCAACTCAAAATGTCATCTCCTCTATTCTGTCCTTTCCAGATCCCCCAGAGTCAGATGTCCCTTCTTCTGAGCTTCCAGAGCTTCTGGTACGTGCTTCATTAGAACACTAGCTACAATGCCCTCAAATGACCTGTGACTTGCTGAAAGCCTCATTCATCCTTCATCTCCAGAGTGCCCAACTGGTAATCAATCAGTGCTTGCTGAACCCATCAGGGAATAAATGGAAATGTTGCCGATGCACCCAAGACTCTCTAGCAACAATGACTAAGGGTTAACAGTGCCCCCAACATCCAAAACAACAACAGAAAATGTTTATCAAATGCTTACAATATGGATAGGCACATATTTTAAACACTGGTGCACATATGACTTCATTTCATCCTTACGACAATGAGGCAAGAATCTTTACTATCAACATTTTACAGATGAGGAAACAGGCACAGAGAACTTAAGACACTTGCCCAAGGTCACCGAAGCTAGCATCTGAAAGAGCTGATAATTAAAACCAGGTAGTCTGGTTCCAGAGCCTTAATCTTCCAATATTCATATCAAGACAGTTATACTAATAACCAGTATTTTGCAGCTCAAAGGCTACAGACAAACACAAGTGACGCCTCCAGAGAACTGTACCACCATAGAGTGGCTACCAGCTGCTGTGACCCTGACTGTAAACATTGCTTTCTGGGGTTACACAACTCTCCAACCTCTGGAATGCTTTGGGCAGGACAGACAGTCTCCTCACAACATAGAAAGACACTACACACCCAGAAAACACCATGGAACCACAAAGAAGACACAAGTACTGATTCCTCAAAGTACCTCTTACCTTGTTCATGCTGCAAGGCCTGAAGCGAGGGATCAGACATGTCACAATGTGAGGCTACTCCTGAAGATTCTCTTTGTTCCTGTAGACCTCACTTCCTGAAGCAGGCAGCTGCACTGTGAACACAGACAAAGGAAATCCATAAGTGGGTGCTCAGAAAGGCACAGAACAGTCCTGTGTCCAATGAGGCTTTCTGCTATGATGGCAATGCTTCATGTCTGCGCTGTCCAATATGGCAACTGCTAGCCACATGCGGCTACTGAGCATTGGAAATGTGGCTAGTACAAGAGAGAACTGAATTTCCAACTTTATGTAACTTTAATTAAATTTAAATGTAAACAACCACGTGTGGTTAGTAGCTATTATATTGGATGGTGCAGGTCTAGAAGAGTCTTGAGGCCATGGATACTGGGCTTGCCGGTGGACAAGGGAAAACTGCATATTATATGCTCAGAGTGACCAAAGATACACAGGGACAAGAACACTCATTCATTCGGTAACTATTTTTCGAGCACTTATTCAGTGCTGGGAATTGAGGATATAGTGACCAACAAGCCAGAGAGGTCAGTTATTTAAGAGTCTCTAGTTCAGGCTTTGACTTTCTTAGGAAGGGAAAGGATCTAATATGTGAGCAGCACCTACTGTATGCCCAACCTCAATGCCTTCCTTGCTGTCCACAAAGCTCAAAGGAACAGACAGGCGTTTCCTGGAGCCTGACTATATCACTGCTGGGATTAATAGATAATAGAACCTTCCACAGAGTTCCTTGTGAGGCAGTATCTCATAAGGCAATTCAGGGGGGTCAGTTTTCCAAGGGCCAAGTGAACCAGGCGATCCAACTCCCCTCAAATGGAGTAAAGGTCCAAGGTTTTACCCATGCTGGTTTATTAGGTAGGCTTTTGTATTTACTTGAATTAAATTTTAGAGCAAAACAGTTATTGTATGGTTCCAGGATTCTTAATTTGTCAAATATTAAGGAAAAATAGAAAGAAAATATCTTTGACTACTTAACTAGACTTGTAGCCATTTCCTTTGAAAAATATTTCATGGGTGGATTTGAGAGAAGAATAAAACACTGTAAGGCTCCTTATAATCACCTTATTACTGTGTTATTTTTTCAGACTGCATTGAGGAAGAATTCATATATCTGAACCTTTCCATAAAGACAGGAATTGGAGGTTTAAATGGAACTGCAGCACTTTTAAAAATGTATTATTTTTAATTATAATATAATAACAATATAGAAAATGTTCAATAGGAAAAGAAAAAAAGACTCATTCCCACTGGCCCACCAAAATACCTTTACTTCTTAGCAATCAGCTTTTCTCTGTTGGAGAACGGCATGAGGCCCGGGCACACCTGCTAACTGAGTCAAGGACACAGAGTGGTCCTTGTTTTCCCCATATTAATATCTTTCACCATTAAGAAAATAATTTTGCAGTTTATATTTTCAAAAGATAAACTTCTACTCCACACATTACTGTTCTCTGAGCATAATATTATTAAACTCCTTTTATAAATAAGAAGACAGGGACAGAAAATTACAGATCACTACCTGGCTATTTGAGACACATAGATTCCAAAGAAAATACCCTATTCAGTCATAGCAATAACATTTTAAACAATGATGTATAACATGGAGAGACCCTGGAATTCTACTTTTATAGCCTAAACACATCCAAACACCCCCTTATGCACATGACGCCATTGCTTCAAAGTAAAAAAAATTCAATATCTAATTCTAACCAATTTTAAACTGACTGACAAAAAATTATGCTTTTACTCTAGAATTTCCAGAAGCAGATGCTAATGGATTTCTGCGTTTTAAAGTAGAACTCTGCACATGTTGTTTCCTTTTAAATATATGTACTTGATCCATTTAAAAGCTATGGCCCTGCACATAACTAGGAAGTTTGTCCAAATGCCTTGGAGAAGCCTGATGTCAGAATTCTATTCACTGGTATCAACACAGGAAAGGTGGGCACACGGAGATAATAATAAACAGACAAGGATTCTTGGACATAATTTCCCCAAGGAAATTCCACCCAGCTCCAATGATGCCACAATCCCCATTCCCTCAAAACATGGGTATATATTTTGCACTAAACTAATTATGGACTCTTTTTTGTGCCTCTCCACGCCTCCCCAGGTGTTCTTAGATAATTTTCATGTATGTTGGTTCTACGGCAAAGTCAAGACTAAAAAACTCAGACTTATATTAGGGCACATATAAACTTCTTAATAAATATTATGAATAGATTTTTTTTCTTTGATCTCACAGAGCCTAAGATAATGTAGATTCTTAATGTAGGATCTTCAAAACAATGTTGATTATCATTGCAGACTGCCTTTGGGTTTTTTTAAAGGAAAATCTCTTAATATCCAAGATTGTAAATCTTTTAAATAATATTAAGAATATCTTACAGCTGTATAGTGTTCAAAACTGTATGATGCACTTTACATTAATACTCTCATTTAGTACTGATATCAATCTGAGTGGTGGGTTTTCTTAATTAAGAAACTAGATAGAGAGGAAAAAGAATTCTTAGTCATACTGGAATAGACACTGGGATAGAAATGACTTCCTTTCAAGAGACTGTAGAATTAAAACATGTACAAAGACCACATATAAAAAACTTCCCCAAGAACACACACACACACAAACTCAAAGACCACCATTAACAGAAACACCTCAGTGGACAGATGACAATTTTAGAAATTGGGTCAGTTCGCTTCTAGACAGCAACCAGAAAGACTGGCCTTGTTCTACCAAGTGCTTTCAATCTCCTTTGAAATTGAGAGAACCTGGTTGTTTTCCAGCCACTTTGGTTCATGAAGAAGCTTAAGGAAATCCACAGCTTAAAAAAAGAGACTGCATCTTAAAAAATAAAGCATTAAGGAAAAAGATATCTCAGTTACCGTGGTGGAATAAAGGAAGTTTTAAAAATTGTTTTGTTTTTCAGTTTCTTTTTAATCGTTTATGAAATTGACCTCTTCTGATACAAAACAAAAAAAAACCTAAAAGTACTGATGCCTGTAAATTGTGCCTGGAGAAAGTCAATCCCATAAGCTAACGTGTGACTTCCATTTAATTGATCCTAAGAGAGTTGGTTCAACCGGCAACAAAGCCTGTGGTCAACCTTAGGCTCTAAAAGGTTAATGAAATGTAATTCATCTTTCCAGGAGGGTTGAAGTGTGGGTAAGCAGGAAGGTGGAGACAGGGTAAGTGTAAGAAGAAACCAATAAGAGAATGAAAAGAAAAGATAAAGGAGAAAACTAAAGGGCAGATAAATAAACAGATACCTAGGGAGAGTTCAGTGATGTGGCCAAGTGTCCCTCAGCAGCCAGGTCCTCACTATGGAAGGGATCGAGAGATTCGGGCTTCTGGTGACAGTGCTACATCCTACAGCTTCTCTAGATTATATACTCTCATGGACAGGGTGTCAGCGAGTGGGAGCTGGAGTAAAGTTAAGACTGGGCCTACCTGTTTCACCACTATTTATTTACCATCAACCTCCACCTACCACAGAGAAAAGTCTATTTTACCTGGATCACTGCTAATGTGGTACAGAGGTATAAGCCAACTTTATTCTCCTTCCTCTAAAGAGAAGCTTAAAGTTGTCAAAGAGCTATTCTATTTGTGTGTGTGGATTGTGTTATTTCTTGGCCCTTGAAAGTGCAACGAATACCTATTGCCAATATAAAATGAAATACAATGAGTTGGGCTTTTCTTCCCACTCCAAATCCCCCATCCTCTTCCAAGACGCTCATTCTAGAAGCCTGTTGTAATACAATTCAAAGCTGGGTAGCTTAGGTAGTCCTATGGGAGACAGGACAGGAGGAGTGAGCAGATCACTCCTCACAGTGTTAAAGGTCTGGCTGGCTTTTAGATACAATGCACCATGAGGTCACTCCCCTCCCCACCATCAAATCCACGAGCCTAAGCGGAGAGCCTGAGCATGAGGACCCAAGAGCTTGTGGGGAAGAAATAAAGTTATAAAAAGACGAAAAGGCTTTGGAGAGAAAGGGAGAGAAGGCAAGGTAACAAGAGTCTAGAGGAAATTCTCCAAATCGAGGACCTAGGAGCTTAGGAAATCAGATGAACAGATGAGAGAAACAACCCTAATATCCTCCACCCTGTTTTTATGGGTTGAAGTAATTCATATGTCTCTGAAGTTAAGTCCTGACAACCTTCACCTGGAATCCTTGTGCAAGACCAGGTAAATGTAAGATCATTTAATTACTGGCAGGCCGATCCCTCCCTTCCACAGTACCTCTTATTAAAGGATCCAGAGGTAAAGCAACAATCAGACTCCTGTCCCTTGCCCCAAATGCACACAGCCCCTCCCAAGTGATGGCTCCTTCCTTTCTTCCTAAAGAAGAGCTGGAGGGACCAGAGCAGAGCTCCTTGAGGAGCTTCTTGCAGGTCTTTCTCCATCCTCTAAGTTATAGCAGGAGTGTGGCTCTGGTTCTTTAGGACCTCTGTGTTCTCACACCCCCACATTTAGGCAGCAAACACGCCATAACATGGTTCTTCCCTCAGAGATGGAACAAGGTTTGCCGTCTGCCTTACTCCCCATGCTCTGCTGTCACACATGACATGGAAAACATACAGCCCAAGCCAGAAGGATGAGCGCATCTTCCCATCAGCACCATCCACAGCCTTCTTTCCCAAGGATAGGTTAAGCAATTTGAAAATTAATATTTTGAAATTTTAACTAGCATATGAATTATGGTTCAACAGGAAATTGTGATAAGGAAGAGGAAATGAGAGGGCTGTAAATTATAAAGAGACGTACTGCTGGTACACAAAAAAATTTGCCCTGAGAGCCAGATGGGGAGGAATAGAAGCCAGTGCAGAGCGAATAGTGCCAAGTGGTCAAGAGTTCATTGCTTTATGTCACTACTTCTGGTGCACATGCTGGGGTTTCCCTTACTTGATCAAATCATAAGTTGGGATATCTAACATTTAGATTCAGGGCTATCACTCTGAAAAAGGTCAATATTGGTCTCCCAGTGATTAGGAATATCTTAATTAAAGGCACACTACAGAAGAGCTGCCAAGAGGTTACCCAGTGCAGCCTACTTCTCTTGTCTGGGTGACATCTAAACCAGAGA